TATATGTCGATGTCCTCTTTAACAACTTCCACATTTGCATACGTTTTCCCATTAAGGTGCTGTTGCAGCGAACGAAAAAGATGATAATCTGATGGTACCATATCTGGAGAATATGGTGGGTGGGAGAGAACTTCCCAACTCAAATCCATAATCTTGTGTTGCTTCAAACGTGCCACATGTGAACGTGCATTGTCGTGGAGAAGAAGAACACCTTTCTGATTGAGGAGTGAAGGGCGTTTCTCATGAAGGGCTTGATTTAAACGTTCCAATAGTTTTTTTTATAGATTTCTGCATTGACAGTTCGCTGTGGATTGAGGAGTACGAAATGAATTACTCCTTTGATGTCCCACCAAATGTAAAGCATCACTTTCTGCGGATGGAGTCCAGGTTTTGAGGTCGGAAGTGGTTTTTGTCTAGGACTTAGCCATTGTTTTTGGCGTTTGATATTCACATAGACAATCCATTTTTCATAACCAGTGACAATTCTGTTCAAAAATGGTACAAGCGCATTACGCACCAGAAGAGACGAAGCAACGTTCACACGATGATCATCGGAGAGTTCGTGAGGCACCCAAACACCTTCTTAATGGAGTTTTTCCAATATTCCTTAGATGTTACGTATTGTTACGTATATTAAACTTTACACATTATATAGGCTACACTAACGTGACATTTAGGTGGTTCGTTTAAATATTATACGTAATGCACGTTTTTTGGAGGTGGTTAATGTTCCAAAACGCGACATTAATTCCTTGACGACTTATACTTTCCTAGTCGACTGTCGCTCTTAATAGACTCTGAATTGCCCCCTTTTAAATCCCTGCTCTTTCGTATTATCTTACATACTAATGATGATATAACTACATTTATAGATGTATTTACTGATCATTTGACATACCCGGCATATCACATGGTCAGTCTTTTTTCGCGAAAGTATTTGGAGTATTTGTCATATATGTGGCAGTCAGTAAATAAAGGTAGTTTTACTTGAACACATTTTAATAATTTAATGAACCAAGAGAAATATTTAAAGCAGAATATTATTTATCACCTAACCTACAAAATTGTTCATGTGAAAATACCAAATAATTTTTGAACAAACATTAAATAAATTAATTCCTTAAAGAAAAGCAATGATTATTATATTTTGATAAGTATTAATAGTTTTACCATGTTTTTATTATTTTATGATGATAAAACATAGGTTAGAAACAGAAAGTTCTGAGAAAAGCTTAAGACAAATGTATGAGGTATGTATGAAAATATTTCTAGTTTACTTATTGTTTATGAATGGTTATAAATTGTTAAAAAAAGGCGGTTTTTTTGGGAGAAGGCAGTGCTACCTCAATTTTAGTAAAATTTTTTGACTGAAATAAATATGTTTGAAACTAAACGATCATTCGTATCTGTTTGTATAAAAATTGTAGTGTTTCTTACTGATACCTTAAAACATATATGCATAGTGAAATTGTAGTGAAAAAGCCTACACTAACTAAGCACTAATATTTCATTGGTATAATGTTACATGTTCGGTGATTCTGTATTAGATGGCCGTGCTACATATTACAATATATATACATTGTTTCACCCAAGCGCCGCTGAGAGGTTTCATGCGAAATTAATAAGAAATGAATGATAAGTTGAATTAAAAATGTAATGACATGCCATAAATAAAGTATTGTTACGACAACGGTAGTCACGTGACGCTGGTAACACGTCATGATATTCTAGAAGAATCGGGGAACATCACGAATAATCCAGTATGTGCTAGGCGCCCTCTATTCATGTATACAAGTGCGCCGGATAACGTGAGACAAATTAATCGAAATTGAATTGCAGACAGACAGAGATAAGGACGGGCAATTGAGTCCAGCGCGGTAGTGACCGTAAGTAAGTGCGTGAATCATTGTGAATTATAGCGTGTGTTTAAAGTGACTGTGGAAATTAAGTGTATTGCAAAGTTGAATTGAGAAAGAATAAACTAGTTTTATTTGAGAAAGGACTTGTATCTCTGAAGTTCCTCGGGAAGAATTTATACCGGGAAATTAATAAACGAACACAGAGGCGTAACAGTATTGTAACTTAATTATCTGAATTTATTAATTTAATTTCCCAAAAGGTTTTTCTCAAGATAAACATTTTAACAACATTACTATCTCACCCAGTTATATCATCTATTTCATATTTTACTTCAATGTTATGTGAAATGATTTGTAATCCTTAACTTTTATCATGAATATTTTTTCCCATTTTACATTTGGGTAGGAGATGCGGTTGATAGCTAGCGAAACAGTTGATTATCTTATACAGCAAGCTGTAATTGTGAGTATACTTGGAACAATTTTTATCTCATTAAACTCTATTCAAAAATCTATATCATATGTAAGAACCACCCTCTTATTTATTTAAAGATACTTTTATGTTTTACTTTGAGCTTATTTAAACAATATAGCGTTACCAAAAATAAAAGCAAATAGTAAATTTTATTAGTAAAGCGATTTGACTCAGTACGCCTGTCTTTAAGATGGACAATATTTTTTCAACTCAAATAGAAATGTATTTTATATCTTTTTCCTATGCATTTAATTTAAGCTAAAGCAGTCTTAAATTTTTCGTTCACATGAAAGTATAAGGATAAATTATTATAATTTAAGTGTTTACAATATGAGTAACTTTTCGCCCACAGACATTATATTTTTTCCCCCAATGTTACTAAATTTTAAGGTATATTTGTGTAAATTGGAATATTGTGTTTAGTCACTACAGATAGTATTGCAAGAGGCAGAATATGTTATAGAAGATACCGTATTTCAAGTATAACCAGTAACAAACTTTATTTAATATTTTTATGGTAATATATTTATTAAAACTTTAATTGAAATGATTATTAATTATATTTAATACATTATACATAGTGTTATAAGCTATATGTTTTTAATGTTGTAATTTATATGTTAGCCAAAGGGCTCATGATACTATCGAAAAATTTAATATTGTAGGTTTAGAAAGTTCTAACAATTTTGATTTCGGATTTTCTAGTAAATTCAAGAAGATTATAAATACAATGAGGCATAAGAGTTAAGCTGTTTCTAGTGAATAGAGTGAATCAGTCAGTGTTTTTGTTTTAGTATTAGTGGTGAATGACTCATTATGACTTGTATGTTGTCCTTAAGCTATGGGCATGTGTAAATACCACGCTCATTTTTTTATATATGATGTCTTTTGTCCCATAATATATACTGGACAAATACTATGGTGATATGTGAATGTGGTCAATGTTAAAGCCGAGTCTGTGTGCTTTTAAAACTACTGATATTTTTGGGAATATTGATCTGATTCCCATATCAACAACAATTTGCATAAATCTTCATATTGACTTGCTGGAAGAAGAGAGTGATGCCAGGACTACCAAAAGCAACACTTATGGTTTTCTTTCTCAGCACTTTATTACTCACTGGATATTAGGGCCAAAAATATTCCTTATAGGAACCCATCCTTTTAAAGGTTAAAATAGTGGTAGAGTCAGGACACTTTGGTAGTATTTTGTAACTTTGATTTTAATAGCCTCTTGGATGCTTGCAATCTTTTCTTCTTGCATAGATTGTATAAGAACTTTTCTACACTAAGTTTTGCCTTTTCTGCTAAATAAATTTGATATTAAATGTAGTTAAATATCTATTATATTGATTCTTCGAAACTTTAGGCAGAATAGGCATTTTAGTGTTGAAATTTTATTGTAGACAACTTACAAAATGTTATGATAACTACAGTGTAATATTTACTTGATCAGTGGTGCACAATTTGATGAAATATTAATTTATTTGAGGAATGTTTCATAAAATAAAAAAGATAACAGTTTTACTTGACGATGTTTGTATTAAACAAGTATTAAAAAAAAGAAAATATTTTAAAATAATTATTCACAGTAAATGCCATTTCCAGTAAACAGTCATATTTGTACTTACTATTTTCTAGGAAATAGAGGATCTATCAATAATAGAACCAACATATTTGGATACTACTCTTGCTGAAGAATCCCTTTTTGATACTTATGAACATCCAGGGGAGCCTATACCAGGATATTATGATGAATTCTTAGGATCTACTGTTGAAAGAAGCTCTTCAGAACAGATTTCATTTTTTGAAGAATCAGAGGATCTATCAAAATACGATTCTGAGGAAGATAATTTTGAAGAACTTAAGTCTGTCTATGAGCAAACAAAGACATTGAAATCGTCATTTGATTCTGATTTGCTCACTCAAACTGTTGGTGATATGATAGATACAGCAATAACTGATGCAGAGCAAGATTTTCTTAAAACCTTGCCTGTGATTGGTTTTGTGACTGATGAACTAGTAGACACAGCCATAATGGATGTAAGGAAGGAGTTGTATGAAAATAGCTTGGAAACTTCTCCCATAACTAGATATGTAACCGATGAAGTTATAAATACGGCATCAACAAATGCAATGAAAGAATTGTGTCAAGATGCCCTTGAGGCTTTGACAGTGACTGGTTTTGTAACTGATGAACTAGTAGACATGGCAGTAACAGATGCAAGGAAAAAGCTGTATGAAAATAATTTGGAAACTTCAAAAGTAACTAGTTCTGTGACTGATGAAGTGATAAAAACTTTAATTATTTATCCAACTTACAAAGATGATAATGAAGAAAGCCCTGATCATTCATCGGTGTTATGCCTTAAAAAACCATCGGAAATAAACCAAAAAACTTTACAGGAGTCATATGATGACTCTGAGTTACTTCACACAGAATATGACTCAAAAAGTAATCTTTCAAAGCATATCATTCAGGATACAAATTTGTTTTGTGTTAACAAAATGCATCAGATTAAATCAACTGAACAATTGTCTTCCTTGAATATATCCAAATCACTACCACAAACTATAAGTTCAACAAAGGTATGTACAGAAACAGAAGATGCAGGTGGCACCCATTTTTCAACACAGAAAACAACTTCTTCTTCAGAACCAGACTTGCACAATGAGCAAAATATATCCACTGTTGCAAAAAAACATTCACAATCTACAAACTTCAAGTCAGGTGGACAAGAGTGAATATCGGATAAAAATAAACTTGGTTGCTGCTAATTCATAATGGTTTTTTTTATTTGTAAAGTCTTTAAAAAATGGTGCTTTAAAATAACTGTTCTTTTAAAAATTTGTAATGAACCAGAATGAGTAAAAGCATGGATGTCAAAAGAAATGGAAACAATGAAACACAACTTTGATATCATTTATACCTTATTATATAACAAATATGTACACATACGTAGTCAATATAATTTGTTTAATTCACCAGCTTGTAATTCAAAAACTACTATAAAAATTTGCTTTTATGTAGCTTATGTTTAATGAAAAAATTGCAGTTAAATAAAAAACAAAAAAGAGTACTGTATAGAATACAGAGAATAAATATCACTTTCAGTCCACAATTTTGTTATGTCTCTCATGTAATTAACATTTAAATATATAAATGTGTGTAATTAATAAAATTTTATGCATTAAAATATAAACAAACCTAGCATGATTTTACATGCATATATATAATTTTTATCATTTGAGATTTCAAACAATTGAAATGTGATAAATAAAAATCAATTCATGTAAATAAAGTTAATTTATTCACCATCTGTGGAAATAGATGAAACCAATTCAGCTGTTAGATGAAGAAATAGATTTTAAAACACAAAAGTGTAAAGCTTTGGAAGTGCTCAACAAAGAAGAAAAATTGTTGATGGTGGCAAAGAGGTGACATACAGGCCAATGGATAAGTACTGGTGGAGAGTTTTACAATTAGTAACTGGAAAAACAAAGTATAAGATTGATGAGGTGCAAAATAGTGAGAGCACTCTACTTAAGTATCTTGACAGCAAGGAAGATACCACAAGTACTTCCCTGATTGTTCAAAATCAGTGACGACTGTAGAAAAACATTGTTATCCTGGAGACCATACCTCCAAAATGGTATGGTTGGGACTGAATCAGTCAGCCGTTAAGACATCAATAGTTTACATAGCTGCAATATCCAAATGCTAAAAGGGAGACATTGAATCATAAAGAGGAATTTCATGGTGTAATTTTTGTCATTAATATTTGTCATCAACATCCATGAAAACATCAGGTACACAGTGCCTTCCCTTGAAGTGATCAAGACTACAACGTCTACCTTACTGACAAATATTACCCACATATGCATATTTTATTTCTATAATTAAACACAACTTTGGTACAACATGTTCTCTTGCTGTAGTGTAAGATGAATACAACAGCTTTTATCTAATGTAGACACATATCAACAATCTAGCCAAATGTATTTAGTGCTTGATGGTAGTGCTCTCAACAGATATATTCATGTGTACAGTACACAACAAACACCCAATTCATATTTGCCACAGCAAAACATGAAAACTTGACTTATATGTGAAGAATATAGGTGATTAGCAGCATTAATGTCAAGCAGTGGGGATGAAACATACTCTTTTTTTCCTTACCACTTTGTCACTGATAACCAGTCAAGCTGCTGTACTGAAGTATATGATAAGTCTATGGGTAGTAAACTGGTTACAATGTAGTCTCAATCTGCCCACTACAGGCTTGGGTTTCCAACAACTGAATAGGTCTAACAGTCATCACTAGCTGGTTACCTTATCTCACAATTATATGGAAAACAACTGAAGCAGTCTCCAAAATAGCAAATATATTGACAAAATGTACATTTATAATAAAGTTTTTTCATTACTCATCTCCAAACTTTTATTTTCTAAAAAGTGGGTTCCTTGTCATCAAATGTATTATATAATGTCACATGTATACTTTATTACATTAAATATCCGATAACTTCATTCTGTTACATGTGCCCAATAATTGCTAATTTGTTGAGTAACAAATACTGTAGTTTAATCGAGGGAAAATGTTTCAAACTTCAAAGTGTTCAATTTTCCACATAAAAATATAATAAAAAATAAACATGAATGGGCTCACAGCCTATAATGAAAACAACTCTATCTAACAGTGTTTAAAATAACTAAATTTTTGAATTTTGTTATTAATTTTTCTGTTTACCATATATAAGGATTATGGAGAGCATATTTATAACTAAATAAATTAACTAAGTTCTACTTTTAAAAAAATTGAAGGATTTTAGCAGTAATTAGAAGAATAGGAAAACTTGATGAATTTCAGTTTTGAACAAAATAAAACATTGCCTGCTTTTGCTAGCTTTAGTGAGTACATGATACTTTAAACTTTTGCATTAATTTGTAAATTACATTCTTGTTGTATTCAATAGAAGTTAATTTTAATTATGGAAATGTAGATGTGAGAAAGAGGTTTTAGAAAAATATAAATATTAACTTTGATGTTTGATATTTCTTTTGTGGTCTTCAAAGTCACAAGTAGACATAACAAAATTAAAGACTAGCACAGTTTGTGCTAGATGATTCAAAATAAAATAAAGCTTAAAATGGAGTTCTTGATAAAATAGATAGCGAAAATACAAATATTTAATCTTTGTATGGACTTAAATTGTTTTTCGTGCCAATAAGTGCATTTTTTCATAGTGGATTGAATTCCAATACCAAAATATTGGGTCAAAATGTATTATTGGTTGAGTTGGATCTGAGATGCAAAAACTCTTGAATAGTTTTGGTCAAATATGATATGAACAAATGTAAAAGATGAGACAGATACTCGTGTACTGAAATCAGGATTTATTCTTCAAATTATACAGTAAACTAACTAATTTTATGACTTGATTTATCACAAATACAATTCAAAAGGAAAAAAAAACTGAACTCAATTGCTATGATCAGAAAAAAACAACAAAAAACTAAAGTTGATTCTGTATGGTTTTGAATATCATTATTCAATTACTATGGGAGTGGAACTTTCAAGCAAATAAACTATTGTTCCAAAGATTAGTACAACACTGCTTTATGAATAAGATTTTAGCCCATATGAATATGTATTCTTTGCATCATATTTATATGCAAACCAAAAGCTGCACAGAAAAACTCAAGCATTAAAAAATACTATAACAAACTGACAGAAGACGTTACATCACAATAAGTAAATTCAATATTGGTTAAAATTTAATATGCATTTACAATACTAAAGTCGAAACTAATACTATCTGAATACAAGTATTACCAACTATGTCATACTTTTATGCACACATTTAACAATATTTGATAATTATAATTAGCCTACTTAAAGTAAACCTTAAAAAAATCATACTTCTGAAATATATATATGTGAATGAGATTTTACATACAACAGAGGATTATGAGAATCAGAGCAATCAAAGGAAAATAAGTTATCCAGTTTTTTTTTAATTTCATATCTTATTTCAAAAAATGCATCATCTTGTTCTTTTATTCATATAAAACTAGTATTGCAAGTTTTATTTGCAATGAAATGTTTTGCCCAAAATATTAAAGAATATCTTGCTTGATATTATGTTCAAGAACAATGAATTTTCTTACTGACAAAAATGAGACCTCCAAAAGTCTGTAAGTGGATATTAACACTATCTCCTCCTTGTTCCTCCAAAACCTAATACATGAAGAAAAATCACACTAAGCACACCTCTCGATCTCAAGTTTACTAATTCAAAGAAAACTCTTCTGTATATATAATTTGCATATGAGTTGTCAAAATAGAAATCTTTTGTGTATGAACATTATCCAGTTGCCTTTTTCATTTCTTGTATTAAAGAAATTTGTCATTTCATTAAATGGACAAATAATAAAGATTTCTTCAACACATGGCTTGTAGGCAACATGTTGTAAATGAAGCTAACGCTTAAAATAAAATAGTCAATTATTCATTCATATATGAAATTGTACTTTATGCCAAAACAATAGCTATGATGTTACATACTAGAGTTTTTTGGTCATCTTCTTAGGTGGTTTTACATATCCACCAAAAGAACAGCTTATAACCTAGTCATATTGGCTGGTTTTCAATTTTGAATGTGGCTTGCAGCACATTAAAGGTTACAGTTCACTGAATTAGCAGGTCAGTTTCTTAAACTAGAAAATGTATGTAATTCTAATTTTTAAATAAACATAATACTACTCATAACATGATAAATTAAGAATAGTAAAATATTTTGTGCTACCTGAGGCTGTACGAGTACTGCTGGAGCCAGATGAGTCAAATCCACTTCCTCCACTGAACCATTCACCACTACCACCACCACTCCAGCCATAAGATGGCCTTTCTCTATGTGTGTAGCCTGATGCTGCCCAACCTCGACTTAAAGAAAACATAAGACTTAAAGAGAAGTAGCATTTTTTCATTGTTACATTCTGAATTACTTAAATTCTCTCATAACTTTTTTTCATTGTATAATGATTTTATAACACACTTTTTGTATATTGGAGTGTAAATTAAGACAAAATAATATATAAGCTTATTAAAATATAACAACAACCAAAGTAACTATATTCAGCTGCTTAAGAACACTCAAAGAAAAACAATTTCTCACCAACACTATCAATGAGTGATGATTTTCAAGCTTATATGCATTTGAAATGGATTTTATGAAATTGTGTTTAAAATAGTCTGTATCTAGAATCATGGTAAACATTCTAAATATTGTTACGTCTCCGTTCGTTCGTTAATTTTCCATAAAAATTTTTACCGAAGAAACTTTACCAATACAATTCCTTTCTTAAATAAAACTGGTTTATTCTTTCTGAATACAATTTTGCGATACACTTAATTTCAACAGTCGCTCTATAACAAATGCTATAATTCACAACGAACTTCTCACATGCTCAACAATATTATCTCTGTCCGCATCACGTTGTGACCGTCTTATATATAAAAGAATACCGAGATCTAGTAAACTCCCGATATTTCAGAAAGGGACATGAATGTTCGAGAAGCTTGTGGCGTGATACTAGCGTCACGCCACCCCCGATGTCGTAACAATATATTTTCCATAATAAAATATATACGAAACTAAGATACTTCAGGCAAAAAATAGTGGCAAGAATCCTGGTTTCAATTGGAGTTGTATGCAAGTCTCTGAAACTGGTGCTGTTAGTAATAAGAGCTAGGCAGAAAGCTAAAATTCTCTAAAGTGATGTAAATAAAGATACAAATGAATTGTTTTGTTTTGAGTTTACATACTGATTAAGTATTACTTTATTACAAGTTATAGCTTTTACAATGAGGAATACTGATTTAAATACTAAAACCTTCTTTACCATTAAAATTTGTGAACTTGAGAATGATCGCACCAGTGATTGAAACATCGTATCTGTTCTCAAAAATAATCTTCCTTACTGTAAGAGCTGTAACTTGTAATAAAATAGAGATATGAATGTTATCTTGAGAACAATAAGACACACACATTTGCATTATGTGGCTTTAATGGGCTAGTGGCTGCTTGAAAACTGTTGCTGAGATCAGGAGAAAAAAAAAAGAGGTTAAAATGGGTATTGGAATACGTGCAGTGAAATATCTAAACTTTAAGACAAGTGCCTTTACAGATGAATACAGTTTGGACAATAGCACACAGGATAATAACTGTATCATAGTCAATGTGCAAAACTGATAGAAAGGCATGGTGGGGGATCAGTATAATCTTGGGCTATATTTCAGCCAATGGTGTTGGAGATCGACATAAAATTGATCGCACCTTTAGTGTAGACAAGTACAGACCAACTCTAGTTCCTCATTCTACATTTTCAAGAACATAGCTCATCAGGCAGAGATTGATTTTCCAGCAAGACAATGATCCCAAGCATACAGAAAATGTGCTAAAATATCATCATGATGGCAAAGATGCCAATGTAACATCACAATCATGGCCAGGCCCACACATAAACCTGGTATGAACATTCGTGAGGCTGTATAGGATTGTGTAAAAGGTATGAATGTAAAAAAGTGACCAAAGAATTTGGCTGAAGTGATGGGAGATGTTTAGATCAATATTCCAAACTTGAATATTGATAAACTGTATGGTAGCATGAAAACAATGTAATGCTCTGTGTAAATGAAAGAGCTCATACAAAAAATACTAATATATTAAAACTTATTCAATCTTTTTTGTATTTTCTGTAATAATGTTTTGCACTAAAGTACCATTAATAACTTCACCATCTAGTTGCCATAATTCATTGTTTGTGACTCCTGTATGCATATCATCTATGTGTTTTCATAATTATTTTCTCAGACAACGTTTGAACAATAACTAAATCATTCTGATACACCATCAAAATACTTAGTACATCATTTGCCTTTTTCACATGTGCATCCATTAACTTGAGAAATATAATTATGAAGCCTTTAGAAAATAACAATCAGTTAAATAACTAAAATAACAATTAAGTTAATCAACCCATTTTAGATCTTGATTGAGTATTTATAATTAACATAGAAATGTATGTCTTTAATCAGGTTGACCACATAAAATAAAACAATGAGTTCTAAGAATACAAGTAATAAAGATGTCACAAAGCAGATGAATTAACTTACTTTCTGTTTCCAAACAAATAACCCAGTAGACCACCAGTTAAAGCTCCTGTCCAAAAACCTCCACCACCACCAGCAGATCTTCTTGTATTTTGTTCACAACCTGAGTAAGTTAAGAAAAGGATACTTCAACTTTAACAGACAGAGAACTAGCTTTTAAAAAAGTCCAAAAATGTATTCAAAACATGTGAAATATTGGATTACTGTATTTATATCATATTTATGCATCACAAATGTAGATATATATTATTACATAAATCAAAAGAAAATACAGAAAGTTCAAAACAACAACAACAACAAAATGTTTTTCAATGTTATTCATAAGTTATAAGTTACCATTTTCCTTACCTGAATATGCATGTCAGACAGATACTTATCTTTACACTGAACTGAAAGCTATAATCTTGCACCACTGCAAAAAAAGAATTTTTTCACACGTTCCAAGTCTTGAACAAAACTCTAATCCCTACATGTATTAACACTTACTGTGCTAATCTATGACTCAATCAGCATTAGACCAACAGGAGGGCAGCACATCTTCCCAGTTGCAGTAGACTTCATGTGCACCTCATGTATCAACAAAGGTTCATTCTATGGAGGAAGGGTGGGAGGTTCTTTGAAGAGGTGAGTATTTATCTGAAATTCATTTTCAGGTACGGAAAATGTTAACTTCCAAGATGATACCTCACTTCTCCACAGAAGTGATTTCTGGAATCCAACATTGATAAGATGGTGGAGGAACCAGTGTATGTAAATAAAATTGAAAAGATTAGCTTCTTTTTTGATAATATATAGCATTAGGAATGGAAAACTCATGAAGTGTGTCAACCACTAGTTCACCGAGTATCACTCAGTGGGAAACCAAATCAGTTTCATTCAGGGAATACTCTTTGCCCAACAGTGATGGTAGAGCAAAAGCTACTGTCAAAAGAATCTCCTGTGCAGTACTAAAGTGTTGCATAACTAGATGGAATGTAAAGACTGCTTGACTGACCTGCATATCTCGGGGTCGGCAGAACACAAATGTGTAGTGTGGCTAGGGCAATAAGTCAAGCCAGACAGTATTAGAGAGATACTTACTTGAAATACTTACCAGAATAAGCAGGTGCAGAGAGGAATCATCCCAGACCTGCATTCCATGGAGAACACAAGATCTATCTGGCTGGCATAACCACTGGGAATAGTTCAATTCTTAGTGTAGAGTTGGCCTGTACTACATTTTCATGTAAATAACCCAGTCCTACTACTGATTGAGGGGGTGCATCTAGTTGGTCTCATACCATTTACATTTCCCAATTTAAAGGAGAACTCTCCATATCAACCTCTCCAGCAACTTGGACTAGGGAAGCAAAGCTTCTCCCTTTACTCCACTATAAGAAAATGGAACAAATTTTGCATAGGATAGTATGTTGGAGAGGTGCTTCACTGAACAGGAAGCATCATACCAGCACAAGGTCTCACGCTGCTAGACTATGCAATGAGTTACCATAAATATGCAGCCAAAATATCATCCATGCTCATCAATAGTCCAGGAGAAAACACCCACCATAGAGTGAGAAAACCACACATCTGGAACTGAGAAATGACAAGAAAATGGAAGGAGTAAAACCTCAGGGTAGGGTCAAAGACCTATTCCATGGCACTGATAACTTGGAGAGAAGACACAATCTCCTCTAGCTGTTTAAGTTGCAAGGAATCTGAAGGGGGTGGAAAGAGAAGGTAGTGTGAAAAGACAGAAAAAGCAAATTGAGCCTACAGGTGCACAGAGTGGGAGAGCTGAGAGGTGGCTGCAGAAACAACTCACTTCCACAATCCATGATGGCCAGCCCTCCAAGAGGGAGGGCGACATCAGAAAGTACTAATATGATGAGGAGCAGAAGAGGGGTGACTATAGGAAGTTCCTGTGAATGAGAAAACTGTTGGAACCACCCCACCCTAGATTCAGCAACTGGGAAAGAAAAGTGAATACAGATAACTGCTGATGAGTTGCCTCAGCTCAAATTTTCAATGTATAAGGCACTCCCCCAAAACCTCATCAGAAAGGAAGGGTGCCACAAGCAGGTCTAGGAAATAAAGCATCCCAACCAAGTCAATCTCAGAAAGAATGGAATCAAATTACCTGGGACACTTCAAAAGAATAAATCAAGGCAAAGAATAGGTAAGTTCAATTGTTCCCAGTGAAATTGTCAGGAAGGTTGCAATGTAGAGCCTCTGAAATAAGGTGAAGTAAATGAAGTCTAGCAGATTGAGGATGAGAGAGAGAGATACAAGCAAGGAGAAGAAAGAGATCTCCAAGCTTAAAGAAGAGATTTAAGGTACTGAAGCAAAATGAAAAAAAAAAAAAAAATTGTGACTGTACATGACAAAACAACATTCTTGGGGTATTGGAAGATGAAATAGATGGAGTTTGTTATGAAATTGAGACAACACAGTATCAGCATGAACAGGAATACCTGGGAAGAGGGAAAAAAAAAATAGTCAGAAAAAGGAGAAGGCTCATGCAGCAAGGTAGTCCGAGATTCAGTAAAAGCCACTAACAAAAGAGAAAGGATGACTCGTATCCTTGTAAACAATGTAACAAAAGATGAAGGTGAGGGTAACCCATTCCTCATTGAAAAGGAAAGAATATGAAGCAAAATAGGTTGTAGGAACAACTAGGCAAAATCAACAAAAGATAAGACATCTGCAGCTGAAGCAGGAGGTCAGAAGTCCTGGATCTGAGATTAGAATGGAACCAATCACCTGGTGCACAACAGTGATAACATTGCTGGCCATCAAAGTGCTGCCAGTTGCTATGAAAAAGTATATGATAACTCCAGTTATTGAGTGCGAGGACTTGGGAGGTATGAAAAACAAAGGGTATGTGAATTAATAGTCTAGCTTGTCCACAAAACTGTTTTTTTCTTAATAATTAAGTAGGTCTAATCACTGACATAATAGCAAAGATTTTGATTAATCATTGAATCTAGTGTATTGGGTGAATAACAATGAGGAATATTCCTGTTAAATAAATCATATTACAAACTCTGGAATATGATTAAAGTAAGAAATCAAAGTAACGAAAGAAAAACTAATAATTCAAATCAGAAGTTCGAACTGAAATGTTTTAAAAATTTTAATTTTCTTTCAAAAAATCAAAAAAAGGAAGACAAGAAAAGAAGAAAACTTCAAATGGTAAGTAAAAGTGTCAAAGAATAAGCACAAACATTCTGTAATTCATACTGAAAAATACACTACTAACTCACTGACAGTGCTGAGAAAAGAATGAGCCTTTGTTAGTGATGATGGAGGGATATAGTCTAATACCATTTTACATGAAAAGGGCAGTACACATTAATACATGTAGGGGTAGGAATTTTGATTAAGACTTGATGCATGTGTAAAAATATTTTCGGCAGTGGCAAGAAGGACCAGCTATCAGTTGTGGTGAGAAGCATGTAGCTTTTCTGAACTTCAAAATTATCATTTTGTTATGTTTGATCCTAAAACTTGTAAAAAATAAAAGTTCTTTTGACAACATTTTTTCAAGAAACCTGACAAACAAGTTGATAGAAGGCCCTTCAGCTCCTACTCCAAAATAATAAATAGCAAACAACAATCAACTTTTATGTAACCTTCTGCATGCATATAACTATTAGTCAAACTCTCACTTACAGTGGTCTTTTAAACTTAATGGAGTCAGCAGGTGAATTATACATTTGTTTTGTCTCAGAAACACTGCTGTTATATATAAAAACAAAATTTATTTTAACATGATAACAAACTGTCACTCCTGAAAAATTACCACTTGTAAAAACACTTACTTGCATCTGTATAGAACTCAGATCGGAACCCTGGTGGTGGTGGGGCAGAAGAATAACCTCCACCTAATCCTGCATTACCTCCCGAGTTTCGGCTATCGTAACCTGGATAATCATCATTGGTTGAACTAAACTGTTGTGTCTGTATACAAGTTCTGTAGATAGCGTAAATAATTATGCCAATAATGATCACTAAAATAATATCACTTATACCTCCTCGCTGATGAAGCTCGTTATAAGTTTGCTGGTAGGAATGGCTAAAAAAAAAAAAAAACACTCAAAGTAGATGGAATAATCCTTGTACTCATTAACAGATGTACAATATATATGGATATAATATATGAGATTATCTAATTCAAAGTAGAGATACTCCTAAAAACTTAAAATCCTTTGATATCCATGTTCTTTATAAATCCATGGTAAACATAAGTAAAACTTATACAGTTTGAGTGTACGTTGAAGCTTATGTATAACAAGAATAAAATGGATCCTGCTGATTTAAAGATACAAGTAGAGACTGAAACTCATGATGTTCTGTGTCACAAAGTAGAACTATAGCATCCCAAATACACAATGATCTCAAGAACATAGAATTCATTAACAAACAACAGTACTTGTTAGTCTGGAATGAAATCATGAGCTGTACGAGTTGACTGCAATTGATACTTTATTAACTTATAGAAATGTACAGAACATAAAACAAAAACATATTTTAGAGAAAAGACTGTCTGCTGTTACAGCTATATCTTATAAAACTACATATTGTTTATAACATTACATGACAGAATGACAACAATAATGTCTTCCTAGCTTATAGAGTACCCTTTATGACTGTTCCATCCTCCATAGTTATATTGTCCTTGTTTGCCTTTCTTCTGAAGGCCCTCTTCAGAAAGATCAATAGAATATTCCAGCTGTGATGGTGGAGAATAAATATGTAACTGTTTGAATATTTTATATAACATAATTAAAATACAACATAATTAAAAGCATCTGTATTGATCATACAACAATTACAAAGGCAATGTTAACAGATATAAAAAATAAACAAGAATAAAATAATTTATTTATAAAAATAGATAAAATATTATGATGAAAATAAATATATTATTTTGTTTCTCCCTCTCCGATTTATCATAAAAATATCAAGGAAAGGAAGATCTCTGCTCAATATCAACCTCTTGTCCTTAAAATGTGTATATTAGGATAAATAAACTATAAAAGTTGGGTAATTAAACCTTTATTAAGCAGTGATTTATTATTCCTATGCAAAAAGTAGCCGATTAAACAACAAATGTTTTAAGATATACCTTTTATAACAAAAATAAATTCAGTTGTTGGAGAGAAAAACTCATCTCTATGTTATTCTGTGCATAAAGAATTAAGAACTGGTTACAAGATATATCTTGAATTCACTGACATTTATGACAAACTCAAGGATTCTGAATGTGAAGAGGCAAAAGGGGGTGACAGACAGATGGACTTGGAGGACAAGGACTTTTTTTTTTAAATGGAAGGAAATCTATATAACATACAAGAGGTTCCGAGAAAAAACGACTATTTTTGCTGCAGAATGTTTTTACTAATACTTTATGGCAAGCATACAAATTTCAGGAGTGGTACCTGCCACCCTTTGCCTCCTTTTAGTATTGCCATCAATGACACAAGGCACAGTTTTAGATTTACTTTATCTAGAACATAATTAGGATGCCTAGATGCAGTTTTCATCTTGGACATAACTTTTCGAAGTTATAAAGTAAAATAACGACTTGTAATTTGTTGTTAGTTTGAATTGTTTCATAGTTTTTTGATATGTAAATTAATGTGAAGAGCTACATTTAACATGGATATAATATATATATATATATATATATTTTATTAATCAAGAATTACTAAATTGTCTTTGTCAACCAAAAAAAGTCACTTGCATCAATATATCACACAATAAATAAATAAATAAAAAAAATTAAACAGCAGTAGTATACACCATACTGTTCGCAAGATGAGTTTAATCAAGATACAAATCTGAATCCAAAGCTAAGGCTTGTCACTAACTTGTTACCTAACTTGCACTGTAGAGGAAGAAGATGCCACTTAAATTTAATGTGTACTTGCCCTACACATCCTCAATTTCTTTTTGTTATATAATAATGTCATAGCAATTTAAAAAAATTTAATAGTATTTTACTTTTGTTTTAACTAAAGAACTTCTTAGTTGTCTAAGGCACAACATAAAAAAATGACAAAGAAAATTACTTTGAAGCATTTATTCAGATCTAATGTTTCAATCACTAAATACATCATTTGAAAACAAAATGATTTACAACAATCACTATGAATTAAACTTGCAGAACCAATGTCTGATACCCAAGACTAACCAAGTATTGTTATGTGTTTATAAACGCAGCATGCTGATTAAAAAAAAATGCATTTTGCTCAAAAGCTGACAGGTTACAGTAGTGATGCACCAAATGATGTGCAGAGAAATGCACACAAACATTAACTCCCCAAAAATATTTTGTGTACTTTAGGAATTTTTACCAACATTTTAAGTAAAAACATAAAATAACTACTTAATAGTGTAAAGTAAACCAAGCTAACAAATACTTAGTTTCTTCAATTGTCTGGCTAGGATTATAAGGGCTTGGAACTACTTGCTTGAATTAGAATTTTACTTGTCCCAAATAATAAAACAACAGTTAATGTTGAGCCCTGAAAACTCATATTTATTACCCTGATATTCATATTCCCTCAGCCAGGAATAACTGTTGGTCCATCACGGCACTCTTTCTAGCATGCTTACAAACTATATGCATCTATTAAAAAATCTGACTAATGATCTGCAATGTAGAATCATTGTTAGTATACAGCTGAAGCCTGGAAAATGGTACCTATGAATGAAAATTCAGGTACTTAATATAAAACAGCATACAAACAGCAAGGAAACATTTGGTTCTTTCATAGCTGTACCTGTACCCTCACCCATAAAAAAAGTAAAAACTTAATCCCACCCTTTATTTTTCAGGAAATTAACGATTCCCTTTTAAGTTTTTGTAAAGTGTCAGTCTCCACCACTGCCAACAGCAACTCATTCCATAAGACAATCACCCTGTTAGAGAAATTAAACCATCTTAACTAGAGCCTAGCTTGTTCCCACTAATTTTAAACTTGTCTTCTCTTGTTTTATCATGTTCAAAAAATAGCACAAAGAATTCAGAGCCTTTTCTGCACTTGTTAGAGTTCCTATATTATAACTTTTAATACATCTTGTGTATTTTCACAAAATTTGGCACTTTTAGTGAACATTACAAGTCTTTTGTACACAAGAAAATCAGATTTTTTAATGAAGTATTTTTACTAAAGATTTGTTCGTGAACATATATAGTATTTCTATATACTAGTATGAGTTCTAAGTGGTTTCTGATTAAGATTAAAAATTCTTTTCTTCATTTCAAAAATCTCAAATTTTATTTGCATAATCCCTAAAACCTTCTAAATAAGTTTAAAACGTTTTTTTTCTAGTAAGACTATCTACTTTATTTGTTATTTTCTCTACCCTAACTTTATATAAGGTTGATCAATTTGACTGACCTCATAACTACAAAAAAAAATCTAAATTACTCTTTTTTTCTTTCTAGAATGACTTCAAATAATAATAATATAATAAAACATCATAATGGCAATTTTTCAATTAATAAATATTTAGAATTAATGAAAACAGCAATAACTGAAAACACTAATTTTGATTAGTTGATGATTTTTGTCATAACATTAATCAACTTAATCCTAATTATACAGGACAATAATTGATGTAATTGATTATATTGATTTAATCACTCAGCTCTAAAGACCTCAACTTCCAATTCTAATTGTATTCAATAAGTAAAAACAATGAAACACATTTGATTTGGTATATAATAGTATATGATAAAATATTTATTGAATTAAATGAACTTATAGCAAACAACTTTATAGAAGGGGTTTATAGACTAGCAAATGAAAAAAAACAAGGTAATAATTTCGTATTTATGCAAGTAAGTTCCATTATGAATATAATTTTTTAGAGCAACATTTATAGGACTGTGAAATTGAATTTTTCATAATTTAACTTTAATGAAGAGTTCAAAATTATTGCTAGCCTGGTAGCCCAGGACAATAAAATATGAAATACAAGTCTGATAGGGTTAATGGTTTGATATCGTGTATCAGTTTTATTTTAGACTGTCTGGTATATTCATACATTTGATTTGTTGATTTTTCATAACACAAATACATTGATTTGTGTAAATTCTGCATCCTCAAGTGTTTGTTTTTCTAAAAGCAGAAAGCCACTTAATAGGCAATCAAAAAATTATTTTGTTTCTCTATAGAGTGACATTGGTACTCTGCTTAATTAGCTTTATTTCAAAGACCTACAGTGATGATATTGTGCCAATCTAAAACATCTTTGGATATATGTATTTTATACTTACGTAATTTTATCTATTCAATTTTTATTAAGTATTGTTTATTAATTAATTACAATAGTTAGATTTTGAGCATTATGTTGGTTTTATATGTATATTTGTAGCTGATATGTATTGAAAAAACACAATGTACAATTTCATATTATAACTTGAGTTTTAAAATACATGATCAGAGTAAGGCCTTAACTGTAAATGAAAATAGTTCCATTAGAATTTCAAACTCTGATTTTGCTTTCCAAACTGCTAAAATAATAATTTTATTTTTTCATTCATCTTGTTAAGGCAGTGTCAGATAAAATTACATCTTTAACTTTTAAAGGGCTTTTGCATCATATGGTAGTCTACAAGTATAACACCTACACACTTGTACCAAAGAGTTGAAACTTGTAATAAAGCTTGACTATTGTGTATTATTGAGGAATTGGATTGCGAACTACTTTTTAATGACTTACACAAAAACAATAACAGTCTTGGGTTTCACAATATTTGCAAATTAATTCCTGAAACATATAATAACAAGAAAATAATCTTAAGATATTGTGTATATAGTACCCTGCCACAATATAGATGTTTGTAAAGCAAAAATGTTCTTTAATGAAAGGTTGAACTTGTGTAGATTTAAATAATTGTATAATTGTAATTTAGAAATTTAAGCAGTACTTTTAGTTAAAGAAAGTATTTGTAATGTTATTGTAACTATTATATACTTTTTGTAATAATTCTGAAGCACTAAGAGTTTTTAAATTATAAGCTTCTTAAAATTTGTACATTAAATAATTTCATCCCAAACTTATATTACCTACCAAGACTGCAGAATTAAAAGTATTGCATTCATGTATAACATGTTACAGAAAATGACAAAAATTTGTATCAGAAGTACAAAAATGTTGCATAAGAAGGGTTGTTACATTATCTTATTACCTTTCGGTATATTTTAACACTAAGTAATGAACTATGATTTAAAAAAAACAACTTACTCCACAAGAGCCTACAAGAATATATGGATCGTCTGGGTAATCATATCCTTCACAAACTACCTCGACTGTTCCAAACCTAAAAGAACTGTCCATATCTGTCTTGCATTCCCACTGAAACAAGGTGATGAAATTAACTTTTACTTTGAATCAAAAAATGTGTGTTTTCTTTAGTTTTTGTGAAAATCAGTTGCAATTCTGGAGTATGTTTTCACAAGATAATATGATGTTTTCCACTCATTTTATCTATTTATCTGAGAGAGAAAACCAAAACAAAAAGTATTCAAACTGTTTATATATTTACAAAAGCATTACACTAATATAACAAACATAGTGATATAGATTATTTGAATTCCTACACAATTTCTTTGAGTTATAAAAGTTTAACTTAGGGCAACTTTTAAGGCTTCTTTTACATTTTTGAAGTCAAATTAAAATAATGACACTTATCATAACAAACTCGTATATATATTATTAATAATATTTTTCATTATTGAATAGAATTTAATCTAAGGTATACAGAAATATCATATTTGAAATTTAATTTCAGAAACATATTATATTCAGGAACAATGAAGAGCACATGTATGCTGTTCCACAACTTAACTTCAAACAGTAGGTTTGTTTAGAAATATAATGCTCACACTATTACCTTGAAGTCGATGTCCTGTAAACTAAGCCTAATGACCTAAATCTGAATATATACTTTGTATCTGTAATAGTACAAGACTAATTTACATCTGAATGTGAAAATAATATTTGAAATCCACTGACTCTATCAACTATATATATTTATATTATTATACCCTTAAAGAGAATATATGCAACGTAATTCCAGACAATTAAAAATATTTTATAGATTTGTGAGTGTGTGTTTTGTATTATACTTAAAAACTTGTAGTTGTAAATTGCAAGCATAAGGCATTAATAACAAAGGACACGAAGAACGAGAAATAATGTTCTGTCAATACTAGCAAAATGGAGTGACATTTTACTTGCTCTTTAAATCTTTTATTTTTACTACAACGTTTAATGTTGTAAAATAAAAAAAGATTGATAAATACCCTGAATTAATAATCATTCTTTACTGCATGAACAAAAAAATATTTAAAATATATTAGCTGCAAAGTTAGATATCTTTAAGGAAAAAGGAGATAATTTACTTGAACAGAGTTCCCATCACTGCCTTTGTTGTAACACTGTACAACCTGAGGAACAAAAGCTGAACAACCAGCTGATCCACCAATACACTGTAATTGAGGTACAGGTGGAGATCGTCGACCAGTGGTCATCTTCCCATGGTAAAGTGTTAACACTTCAACATCTTTGAGTTTCACTTTATGACTACCTGCTCAAAACCATAATGATACAAGTAAACATTCCATGGTTTTATTAATAATTCTAAAATACTTTCCTGATTATTTCAATAGAACCATATTAAGTAGAAATCTAGCATATCATATTCTTGTTAATATAATAACACATACCTATTTTTGAGTTCATAAAGTAAAACTTTTGGGGAAAAAAGGAATTTCTAAAAATGCTCATAACACTAAAAAGTATAATTCAGGATATTTCAGAATACAGTTTTATATGTTGCAAGATTAGTATACAGTATAAAAAACCGTTATTAATGATCTAAAAAATTACATCTAAACTATTTACTAGTCCTTTCTATGTATAACCATTCTACTATCAGGGCTGCTGAGAACTCATGATCCCCAAGAATTGTGAAGGAAAGGATTGGTACCTAGTATGTAACAGATATTAATTTTTTTAAAAAAATACATAGTTCTCTTGGTAGGCCTGGCTAGCATTGAATAAGATATTGCTAGAAGTAGAAGTACAGTGAAAATGTTTTCCCTGTATAGTGTATCGCTGTAACTTAAAAATAAAAGTGTATTTATCATTAAAAAAATGCTAACCATTTCAGTTACAGCATCGCTAGTACTAATAGTAATAAACAAGATACTGAAAAGTCCAATCTTCTTATAACTTACCCCATCCTTGAGCTGAGAAACTGGTGACCCACAGAAAAGAAACAAAAATCAAGAAACACCAAGTGAACCTTCCTATATCTACGGGAAAGAAATTCATTTTGAACACGAGATGGGTAGTACGTTGTAGTCTCACTGAACAACGGAGTTTCTCAAAATACGACTTGTAAGTTGTAAACAGTAAAGTCAACGACAGCAAAATCCACACCTTTATATTTGTTAATTTTAATACAATACATAAACTGGTTGCGTAATTTTTTATACTATCAAGTAAAATTAAACAAGTTAACAACAGTAATGAAGTGCAAATGGTTGTTAACGTCCTTTATTATATCTTAGGATGACGCAACAACACGAGCAAAATATACGTGTACAAATAAGAATGGACCTAGGCCCGTTAGTCCTACTATATATATATAAATTGATGAGTTCAACTATTACTACTACGAGTAGTAATACTATAGTATAATACTAGTAGTACCATGGTTTCCTTTAAATTAAAGTTTAACTTTTTATGGTTCAGAAACCCATGCCAAAGCATTATGTACACACCTTACCATGCCTATATTAAAAACATTTACAATAGGAAGAGAAATATGATTCACATTAAATGACAAAAAGGGTAAAATCTAGAACAGACTATTCCATGGATGGCGTAATTACAGACGCAGTGATGGGGATTCCGAACAATATTACTTTTATTATGTAAAGAGTTTGTTTGTAGTTAAGCGCAAAGGTACACAAGAGGCTAGTTGTATTCTGCCCACCACTGGTATCGAAACCCAGTTGCTAGCGTTGTAAGTCCGCAGACATGCCGCTGGTGAGTTATGTAGAAAGAGATAAGAAGAGCGAAATTCACAAGCTCTAGTAAGTAGTAAAGGTTACATTTGTAGATAGAGAGAAAGAAACTGTCGAAGCGTGTGTAAGAAGCCCTTTCCACCATACTTTAACTAATTCATCGGGTGTATTTAAAAACGGGATAAAATAGTACATTGGTTCTTCTTCATTATTTCTATTACACGTAAAAAAAAGGTTTTGTAATAAACGTAGTTTATTCTTTTATTTGTAGTTTTATACATGTAAAAACATCATCTCTGCAGTACAGTAAGAACACATTTGGTTAACAGATGGTGGTTGCAGATCTAAGATAATTCAGTTCGCGCATACGCCCTCTTTTGCTTTCTCTTTCCACATATTCTCATTACAGTGCGCAATACCTCTTCAACGAAGCGCCACTATCGCTACTACAACTTTTGAAACTGACATTTTTCATGATAATTTTTTTTTGTCAATGGATAATGTAAGAATGAAAAACGCAAATATATTGATAAATGGTAATATTTTATTACTACAATAATATAATACAAACTTCCATGAGCAGCGTATTCATATTTGTGAATGATGAGAGGAAAGCAACTAACAACCATACAGTCTTTGATACATTCAACGATAGTACTTAACACAACGTCAAAAAACACATGAATAAGATGTTAGTAGTAATAATAATAATAAATGAGCTAATACGAATAATATATTTCTTATATTAGAAGGTATTACGTCCCTTATTAATTTTTAAATTTTGTTATTGTTTTAATTTGTCAGTTAACTTCAATAGCATCAATTTCTCGAAATTTTTATCCGTCAATCCAACTCTTTTTGGTTTCAAAATGTCTTTTCCTGCTGAGAGGGTGCGCTATGCAGCTGCATTCAATGGAATGGGCGTCTTGAAATAAATGAAGAGAGATTTAAAAGCTGGTGAAGAGAACAAGTTTGATTCAATATCTTTTGAAGTCGATGGTTGTTTTGCTCAGGAACAATATTATTTTATCATTGCTACTTTGGGATGAATTACTTGCATATTTTGCTTGTTGTTTAAAGCACTCGAAGAAGTTTTCTTCTTCATCTCTATCGATGCTCGAAAATGGCGAAAAATCACTTAAATCAGCATGCATTTGCTGAACCTTCATTACTGTCCCCTTTTATCTTCTCTGAAAGATTTGTTACTGATTATTTGTTTTGCAGTTGCCTAGCATTCCAGTTAATTCAAATCAATTTAAACCATGAGTGAAAAGCAGCTACGAGACCGTGATCCTCATTGACAAAGGCAGCTTCAAAGTGCTTTTTAATTCCTGAAATCAAAGCATTAACAAGTGGCTTTCAAGTCTGGAGTGGTTTACAACAAAGGTCTTTCAGATTTGTCAAACATGTGGTAAGTGTTGGCAGAAGTAGTCCCATATAGGTCTTAGTTTTACTTTGAAGTAAATCTACCTTGCGTGCAACAGGTTGCATAACGATTACGTATTATTTGATGAAGTTTATATTCAAAAGGTTGAAACGAGCGCTGCCCAGTTCATTACACACTTTATTGACTGAACACTCTCTCCGTTATTATGCTCTAAGCTCTCCATACGGACGAACGCATCGTACCTCAAATCCCACCGCATAGCACATGGACGACAAAACATTCGTCCAATTCTTGTTGTATAAGGTCAGCTGCTACAGTGCTATGGTTCTGTTTGTCTAAAAGCATCTGGGTCTTTGCAACTGTCAATTGGAACACTTTCTTGAACATATTATTGCTCAAAGCCTGTTCAATATCATCGACTGCTATTAAATTGAAAGTATGTGCCGCAAATCGAAGATGCTAGGGGAGAAAGCAAACCTCACTAGACTCTGTCACACTACTAATGATATCAGAAATGCTGTGGAAGTTTATCTAGTTATCTTGTTTTTTATTACTTGACTCAAGTGTGCTTTGCTCTGCTTAGTAGTATCATCTTGGTATGGTATTGCTGTATTGGCATTGTATGATTATAATAATTAATTTTTTTATACAGCACTCCACTAGCCATTGTCAACCATTCAAAGTTCCTATCGCTGACAAGTCTTTACATTAGCCAAAAGACAGATGAAACATATACGAAGTAAAAAATAATAATTCAAAGACCCGACAGATTTCGCACATTGCAGCTCGATAGTGAGAGTGTTCCAAAGCTTGGGAGCATAGACAGAAAAAGCATGACCATCAAAACGTAAGACAGAGAGAAAGAGAGAAACAGTACCAGTATTAATATATATACTAGCCTCGACCCACAAACCAGTTGCAGTATTTTTCATGCCCTTGTTTGAACTTTCCTTATTTTACCATTTTCATGCATAGCATTTAAGCTATGCTTTCTTGCAGGCATTATGTGTTAGATCTATAAATCCTGTTCTATTTGGGGGTGAAAAAATGTATGCGGTCAGACAAACATACTCATATTTATGTACCTTTATTTAATGAAATTTTCCATTTACCGGGATCATCTGCTGTCATTTCAGTTTGGGTTAGAGAAGATAGAGACGATGATTCGGGCATGCGAGGTTCTGTGCCACTGTGACGCATATTAGCATCGTAAATATTATCTGGAGAGTCTTCACAACTCGTTTCGCTTTCCAAGGTTTCTCCATCTGTCCTGCTGGAGTGAGTTCCATACTTTTGAACTGAACCTTCACTTTCTTTTCTAGATGAAATATCACTTGTCCACTTAAATAACTTAAACAGTGAACGGGTCAGCTTTTGTAGTGACTGTTCTATGGCCAACTTTTTTCTCCTTTTTTCAGCACTTGACATGTACTTCCTTTTATTACACGATTTGTCTCTCCTTGAATCTGCCATCACCCGTCCTTATTCTTTATTATTAATAATCCCTTTTCTGTCGAAGCCTAGAATACAACCCTGTAAATAATGAGTATTTTAAGCTTGATGGGGTGACATGGTTACAGTTCCACATGTACGAAAATTTAGTTGAAGACATTTTTAGATGATTGAAAAAGTAATCACTCTCTATGTCCCTCTAATTACTGTCATACGCCACTTCACTAAAAAGACATTCATTACTATCTGACATTGATTTCACAATATTAAAAAAAACAACTAAACACAATTATCATTTTTTGCCACTGATATTATGTTTTATTTATTCTCTGATGGAAGTACTTTGACATTTGTAATTCATGCCACCTGATTGTCGAAATCATCAAGTTAATGTTATCTGGGGCCAAAATTATATTAATTTTATTATTTTCTAGAACTTAATTAACTAATTAATTTGATTATTACAAACTATATCACAGTGACATTTTTATGTAATACATGATATGTCGTCAAACAAAAACAAATGTGAATATTTTTACAAATAAAATAAAAATAAAATATCGAAATGTTTAAATGTTTGTTGTAGCGGTCCTCCAGTGGCACAGCGGTATGTCTGCGGTCTTATAACGCTAGAAACCGGGTTTCGATACCCGTGGTGGGCAGAGCACAGATAGCCCATTGTGTAGCTTTGTGCTTAACTTCAAATAAACAATAAAAACATTGTTGTAGCAAACATAACCTACGACATACCACATTCCATAGATGATCTAAACAATAGAAGGAAAAAAATATTGTAACTGGCACAAGCGTCACCAACTAGATAACACATTCCAGATATCTAAACTGATATACAGTGTTAGAGAACAGTACTTAGGTAAAAAACATTTATTCATAGATAAATACCTATATCACGATTAACTACATATACAACTAACATTCCAGAAAATACACCGAGGTCTCGGCGATCGCCCGTTTGTAAAAAATCCACACATGGTGACAGATATTTGACGACTGAATTCGGGTATGATTTTCATTAAAGCAGAAATGCATTTCGTTATCTGTGAAATGTTTCACAGATAATGTTTTCGTTATGATGAAATTTCGTTATCTGGGTGTTCTTTATAGGATGATTAACTCTAGTTTCAAAGGAATAACTAGCTCTTGGTCTAGACAACACAGTCAGCTACAGAAAGGAACATTAAAAGATCTGAGTGTGAGTCTTAAACAATGACAACAACAATTTACCTTAAATATCAATCGCACGTTGACAGCTCGGACATAGATAATGACACTGCAACATCAGTGTGACCACATTTCCATCATAACATATTGTACGCACTACCTGTTGAAATCAGTAAACTGAATTCTGGTTCACAGGAACAATTTCTGTAATTTTCTACATATTCTTTCCTGTTCATCGAGTTGAGCTTCCATCGTCGCAGTGATACATATTAGACTGGGCCTCTTACTACTCGGACCATAGGTGGTCGCTTACTTCGTCTACCCCTAAACCCCCCACTGTCGCCTACTGTAAGAGGTCCTCACATAATTAAATCTAGAGTACAATGATGATGACATAATCACATGTTGAGGCACCTTAGGATGAGCTCATCATCCTATTTAACCATCCATTTAAAGAAACACCAGCCGCCCTAGAAGCATAAACCTTAATAACACAATTTGCAAAGTAATACAATCCATCTATAGAAACATCACCCGCCTTTGTAAAACACATGTACTACAGTTAAATATATAAATGAAAACTATAAGCATAAGTTGAGAAAAGTTGAAATATATATAAAATCCTACAGAAGTTTGATAACACTGTCCACCTACAGAAACACTATATGCCTTTGTAAAACACACACAATTCGCCTAATGAGACCATTTGCCTATAGAATCTTAGTAAGAACTTGTAATAATAATAACACCGTCTGCCTATAGCAGTACCATCCGCCTATCGATTCTTGGTAACAGCATCTCAGAATTAAAGTTTTACTTATTTAAGCGAAACTGTAAAAACAATGTTAAGCAAATTAGATTAAATTATTAATCTT